TTTATGGCCAGTGATTGCCCAGACTTATTCGGGCGCGACCGGATTAAATGCCAGCTACGCTAGAGGCAGTGAACTTTATGTCCATTAATCGGAGCTTGTAGGATGTAATCAAAATATTATTTTGATGGCGAATTGAGATAAGTAAACGGATCTCAAGCTGATACCAAATTACAGCCTGGAACTCAGCCCGCTTCTTCTGGTCACGTTACCCTACTTTATTCCCTGAGGCCAAAAGTGGAAGACGAGATAAAGAGATTGCAATCGACAGAAACAATCGAGTTAATCTAATACGGGGAGCACCAATAACCCGTTCTGAGGTCAGATGGCTCTGCACGTATTCGTGGCCATTATAAACTAACTGTTAATTTTTGTTGTATTCTGATTAAGTGTCTTCTACCTCGGATAGAGAATCTATATACCACGCTAGCAGGTGAACAAACATTCAAGCAGATCAATCTCTGTCACACGCATTCACAAATTGAGTAAGACGAGATCTACTCAGAAGTTACGTAAGTACCGTTATGCGTCTCTTCTATTGCAAAGGTCTCCTTCTGAATTATTTCGTTTCCGGCGATATTCCAAAAGATCATTGATAAGTCTTACGTCTATTTTGACGACATCCTGCTTACAGAACGCACAGATGCTGAACTTCTATGAACACTATCCAGTGTTCCTACCTTTATATCTAAGTTGGCTCAAACTGCACAAGTCTGAGAGTAAATATTTACCGGTTTCCGTTCGCTACCTGGGTCATTGACTTGATAAAAATGGAGTTCACGTGTCAGAAGGCAGCATCAAACCTACTATCGTCGCACCCGAACCTAAGATTGAGGCTGAACTTCGATCATTTTGGGGGATATTTTCTCAACATTGTCGCTTCTTTACTAATGCCTCAACAATATTTGCGTCTTTGTGCAAGCTGTTACACAAGAATAGTTCTGAATTTAGGGTCCGGATCAAAGACAATCAGAGAAGGACTTTCATAAATACAGAAGGAGCACTGAGTGCACCTCCGTTTTTCGTGCATTTCGATCCGAGTTGGCCTGTAGTGTCGTTGCGTAATGCGTACCCAAGCCGGCTAAATACAGTTCTTTATCACCAAACGGATGACGATTTCCTTCGTCCAGTTGTTTCTGCTTCTCACACGCTGCAACCCGCTGAAAACAATTACTCCCAACTGGACGGAGTACCTTTACTGATTATCTTTTAAGTCCAACATGTCCATTGCTATGTCTGGGGAAGACAGTTAGATATCCACACAGACCATAAACCGCTTCTTTCGCTTTTGGGTAAGGAGAAAGAAATTTAGCAGATGTTTTCACCTCGAATGAAAATGTGGGCGCTACTTCTGAGCGCTTATAACTCCAAACTCCAATATGTAAACGGACTTAGTTACACCATGGTTGAGTCGCCTCCTGCAGGAGCATGGTAAAACTAACAGTGAATTCCAGATTCAATACCTCATAAAGATAACTATTCGGAGTGACAGGGTGCAGCTCCTGACAAACCGGAACTCTTTGCTGTTAAGCGGCTCTTACTGACCGGAAGGTGTACGAGCACGACAGACGAACCTAAGCCATTCACTCATCGGGAAAGTGAGTTAAGTCTATACGGCGGCCGTACATTCTGAGCTCCGGATAGATTACATCTCCAGTTGCTAACATAACTATATGATGCGCACCCTGGCGTGAACAGGATGAAGACACTGACACGTGGTTACTGTTGGTGTTCAAACATCGACTAGCATATAGAACGGCTGCTGAAAAGTTGTGAAATACGTTAGAAATGACAGAGACAAAAATTTCCGGACCAATCCATTCATGGTGGTGGCCGGTGGCAGCGGGTACACACCGGCTATTTTGACCTGACCAGTAGAGTGATATGACTACTTTTGGTCAATGCTCACTTTAAATGGATACACATATAATCAGTTTCACATGCGACTTCTGAAACAACAGTTGCCAAAATGCGCTTCACATTCGCCATCTTCGGCATCCCAATAACGGTATCTACTAACAGCGGATCACCATTTACCAGTAGGGAGTTTCAACAATACTTGGGTAATAGTGGAATACGACACATTAAGTTCGTACCGCACCATCCCGCGTCGAATGGGCTAGCAGAGCATAATTATGTCTAACTTGCTGTGTTTGCAACAGTAGATTGTCCTCTTTACGCCATTCATTTCCTCAGAATTGGGCGGATATTAGAGCTAATCACGATGAGTGTACTCATGTTCCGCGCGATGTTTTTAGCAAAATTGTTTTATTTCCTATAGTGTCTCTTCGTTCTGTTTTTCTAGTTTGACAACAGGAAACTGGATAGTACACTAGCGTTGAAAGAGATTTCCAAATATCTCGAATGCATATTATTATCACTTTGGTTGTAACGTGCTTTGGAACAGAAGTATAAGATTACTACCGAAAACGTGAGTGTTAGTAATCCTGCTTAGGGAATGGGAGAGAGCATGACCAATTATGAGGGCCCCACCAGTTAGTTACATCGTCAACCAAAGGTTGGCGCACCAATGAATGCCATCTGTTTACTTAAGCGGAGCACTTTCGGTAGCAGTTTACTTGCGCCGTTGCTCCTGAACCTTTTCCTGCTAATGTGGCTCAAACCGGGCTGCGGTGGATTAAATTAAAGGTTCCGTCGAAGGCGGATGCTCCAAAGATCATTGGTGTCCTCCGTCATTTTCAAGCTTCCCGTCCGGGTTGTGTTTCACCGTGTTTAAGGAGGACGATGAGGTCACCCGTAAGGCACTGACTTACCTGTTCAAACAGACATGAAAGGAGGTTATCCCAGTCATCTGGGGTAAATTGACCATAGGGACAATGTCCAAGAAGGACGGTCTCGCTGTTTTTCCTTACCGCGGAGTATCAGTCTGGGACCAACGGTGACAATCACCTAAGTTTTCGCCCACCGCTTTACATCGGAGCAGGAACCGTGAATGAAGTGGGAGCAAACAGGTTTCCACCCAGGGTGGGCCTGTCGGTCACATATTCATTCCATATCAACTAGTAAAGAAGCACTACGCGTGCCGTAGATGGACTACTACTGTACTTCTGAACTTTAAGAAGGTGTTCACCAATAAATAGCTCGGTTTTGCTCAATATACCCGAAAAGCTATTACCATATAATGTATTGACGCTTTACTTGTTCTGTACTCGAACACCGCAGATCGCGTCAGCGCCGACGTCTCATGGTCTGGCTCCTTTCCGACAGCAACTAGTGTTCGCCAATGTCGACCAGTTCCCCGTTTTTTCTTCGACTTTGCGCGGACTCTAGCAGAGAGTATCCTTTTGTGGAACCTCACGATGCAGCTGCTGAAGTGCTGCCTGATGGAATTCTGGTACATTCGGGTTATGCGAACGATTATAGTTGGGCGGTCCACTTAACCCTGGACTAATTCTCTAGATTACTACCGTCATTTAAGGGGGACTACTGGACTCTAATTCTCGACGACAATGAACGAGAGTGCCGCCCAAAGATTTCCCTCGGACGCATCGAGTTGCTCCCGGATGATCGGCTCCGTGACTTGGAGTATGCTGACGACATCGCCGTAACCTGTGACTCCTCGCAGGCTGCCCAGGTTGGAGATGTATGTGTCACAGTTTGGCATGACGTTTGCCCTTTCCAAGTCCATGGTCTCCCTCCAGGACTGGTTAGAAGCTGCTCCTACCCTCACCCTCTCCGGCTCTTCTTTGGAAGTGGCAGACAAGTTCATTTACCTTGGCGTTGCATCAGCGTGAGCGATTTGACGACTGAGATCCATTTGTTCATCACCAAAACCAGAGTAATCTTTGCTAACCTCAGATATTTCTGACGCGGGCGTGATCTCGGCCTTTCTCTACAAGGTGGAGTCTACAACACTACAGTACGAGCAGCGCTGTTGTATGGTTGCGAGACCCGTTCGAGCGAGCGATGTCCAGAGACTGTCTGTATTTTATCACCGCTGTCTCCGGAGCATCGCTGGTGTACGTTGGCACGTTGACATTCGACGTCGGATCCTCAATTCAGGCAGTCTACTGCGGCCACTGAGCTGCATAATGACTTTGCGTGCGCTCCGGTGACTCGGGCACCTCATCCGGATGCCTGGTCAACGGTCGCCCCTCCGCGCTTAGTTTACATGTACCGGCCTTGGTTAGGAGCGACGGAAAGGTGGCCAACATGCAACCTTAGTCCGTGATGTCAAGACGCTGACATTACGGTTAGTCACGGTGGGCCGTTCCAGACTCCTAGGTTGGGACCCAATAATACGCTATTGGACATGGCCCGGAATCGTACCCAATGGCGAACGTGTTGTGAGACTCTTTTCCTCTGACTGCTTCTTCTTCCCTTTTTGTTTTTTTGCCGTTACCCATGTGTTGTAGCACTCTGTTAACTGTTGATCAACTGAACTGGATTGCCAGTGAGGGCATTCCCTCTGTTGCAATTGGACTCGGTCAGGTCGATTCGACGATTTTAGACACCTTTAAATCTTGGGTCATCGTTTTTACGGAGTATTTCCGATGTCGGCCGGTACCGGCACGTTCACAGACGCTTACTACCGATGATAATCGGGTTAGTTCCTTACAGCAACAAATAGCATTGTGTTGATTTTTGCACATACTAGGTATGCGCTGTCAATGCCTTCCTAGGAAACTCTTGCATTTTTTCGATGTGTCGGGTGGCGCAATGCTCGAGGTAGGCAAAATTTGACTTGGCAGCTCGAAATGAAAGCAAATGACAACTAAACTAGGTGCTTTTGATTCATCTCGCCCTTCAGATTAGTTCACGGTTGATTCGTGCTGCAGAATATGGTCCGAAGCTGATACCAGCTGCACTTATTTTGTCCACCGTTTACGGCAATAGAAACCTCGCACTGAGTGAATGCTCAATAAGTTGGGATCAGTTTTTATCCGATGTGCTGCTAGTCACCGTCTTGGGTGCTAATTCACGCCCAACACCGAGGTATTGCTCTGCGTGAATAAGACTGCTATATCGACATTCCTTTTTAGACACAAATACTTCCAACGGCGTGGAGATGATTTATACACAAATATCACTCTGAGCCTGGTTCAATCGATGGTGGGCTACCACATCGTCTTACTCCACTTGGACGGCCACGAAGTGAGTTTGCTTCCATTGGCAACGCTTCCGTTTGCTTGTCTTTTGATCCAACACAAGTTACCGCATGCGGTGTCCGTTAGCATTTACCTTCTAGTTCCTGTTCCATCATGTATCCTCTACCTGATCTTGCCACCACTCTTCTTTCATCTTCTTGCAGTTCTCTTAAAAGTACCCTCTGCTTGACTCTATTGTTCATTGTTTTTCTCTACATTTCATCACAATCTCATCTTCGATTTTTGCTTAGTGCATCTGATGCCTGTACTTTCTCACGATTTGGGCTCGTCACTCCACTTGTCGAATGTAACACTGCTCCATTAACTGCATGTATCATTACTTCTTTACTGCTAAGGTCGTATTGAAAAGCGATCGGGTTACCGCGCCCGGCACTATCATCCACATACCCGAAGAGGGGATGCCTAACTACGATAATCCGAAGAACCGCGGCGCGCTGCATGTCACATTTGATGTTGCTTACCCACATAACCGTCGACTTACTGACGACGAACGTGCCAAAATCGCCAGCATTTTTCCAGATCTATCTGGTGCGAGCAAAGAATCTCTAAAGAAACCTCTACCTGCTCAGGTATACAATGGTCTAGATGTGCTCCCTCACGCAACTGCTCCCAAGCAGACAACATAGCCCGCTGTGATTAAGGATTCCGGTTGTACTTTCATTTATTGCCTCATCTCCTTTCTGGGAACGCTACTTTTAAGAAGACTAATTGGTCTGTTTTAAATCTTGTATGCTTGTTAACCCTATTGTACAGTTGCACTTATGCTGTATTCTTGTTTTTGTCTTTTGTGAAATAAACTTCGAAGGCGAGTTTTTAGTGTCCAAATTATTTTTAAGCACCTCTTCATACACACTGCATGTTTACCATGCAATTGATAGTTCGATCAAATGTGGGCACTAGAATTATGTATGAACAAGGGATTGTTTGTTCACTGCACCAAGGCATGTTTGCTTGTGGCCGAAATCAGACGAAAGTTGGCGAACAGAGCTTGTTTTCAGTCGTCCAATTGACATAGTAGTGCCACTCCACGCATGATCCAGTGACTTTCTGGTTGATCGGACGGTAGTAGCATTGAGAGCACAAAGTTTGTGGAGTGACCTGTTGTTGACAGGACTCCACGTCGCTCACTTGTTTTATACACTGGGGCTGTGTAGGAAGGACGAGGCTTCATATCACTCTTCGTTATTGGGAGCAGCCATATCTGTGGGAAGGGTGAAACGCATTTTGTCATCTCAAAGGATTAGTGAATAATAATGCGATTGAATAAAGTGTGTTAACTGAATTTGTTACTTTCCCGTCCGTGAACTAAAAGTGCTCATTTAATGAAGCAAACGGTTTTCTTTCTGCTCTCATCTCCAAAATACGGTGTTTCTGACGGTCTCATAGGTTATTGCATATCGCTTGGGCCCCGCGCCTCTGTAAGCTTAATCTTATATAATCGTACTAAATAGCCATCACATTTTGGAGATTGGTTGCAGACGCTGGTTCGAGATAGTCAAAAAGTTTTCACGGCCACTTGCTTGGCGACAGTTCTGACCCGATAATTAGGAAGCGAGTGGTTTGTCTATTGCGTAGACGCCTAGTTTAGCGTGTTCTACCGGAAGCCGATAAGTCCCGTAAACGGATGAGGTGATGTGTATAATTCAGAATAAATTTTGTGGTCAAATCCAAAATGGTGCCTCTGCGATCTCTGAAAAACGCAAATTCAGTCAACTACCGGTGACGCAGGATTACCTGTTAACCATGTGCGTCACTCATTTCTTTGCATCGACAGTCAACGCAGTTTTCTCTTTCACTGTTACACCGACCGGTGTTCCTCCAGCACCTCTGAGCCAGTGCCACTGCCGACAGCTAATCCTTTATCTCCCATTTAATAATAAATAAATAAAAAGATAAGTCGCCAGCTGTACGCCGTAACGGCGCTTCGCTGCCACGCGACCACCAACAGTCGCGAGTGGGCTGAGTATACCGCGAGGACGCCCGCCTCTATGCGGATTCGAACCGGTGACCTTGTGACTGCAAACCAGACGCGCATACCACTCCGCCACCGGCCGAGATTGTGTGATGGCGTCGCCATTTCGTGCATTCTTATCAATCCCAAAAGCATGCAACAATGACATGTAAATGAACAGCCAACACTGTCAAAGACCCGACGGTTCCATCAGGTCTGTTTACAGGAAGCCAACCTGGACAGGTCAGTATCTGCATTTTACGAGTTTCTCCCCTACTCAACACAAACGCTCTCTCGTCCGGACACTCTTATGTCGGGCCCAAATGATCTGTACACCTGACACCATAGAAGCAGAAAGGCATTTACTTTTCAATACGCTACAGTCTAACGGTTACCCGTTACAGTTAAGCATGTCAGTGAAGCAACCAAGCGAGATTGCGTACCAACAGTTCCGAAGAAGCCGATCTTCATCAAGCTACCTTTCAAAGGTGACCACGTTATGAAGCTCACTGAGAAACGGGTAAGTGTTTCACTCAAAAGAACCTACAATGCGGCAGAACTGCGGTTGCTCACATCGACAAGACCTATGCTTAGGTGTTCGATTGAGACACCGACGACGAGGCAATGCATGTCTCACTGTCTATATAAATTCGCGTGTAGCTATGGAGATAGCTACGTTGGGCGCACTAATCGAAGTCTAGGTGTCAGAGTCAATGAACACATCCTCAAGTGGTTACGTAGCCGAATGGCGCCTTTAACGACGGAATCGGTTGAATCGGGAATCCGGGCTGCCTCGGCGGTCACAAAGCACTTGCTTACCACCGGGCACCGAGTCATTCACTGTGCTACCGCGCGATCAGCGGCCTCACATGCTTAGGCTATTGGAGGCCATCGTTTTCGATCGCGAGCGACCGCCGTTGTGCATTCAAAAACAGCTGACACTGACTTTAAGCCTACCCTGGTAACGCAAATCTGGAGCTATTTACGATCTCTTTGACATTGTTGGTTGTTCATTTACATATCATTGTTGCATGCTTTTGTAATTGATGAGAATGCACAAAATGGCGACCTCATCTCACGATCTACGTCTTCTGAATTTCTGTTTAGAATTATAAAGGGAATATCTTGTTTTAAATTTCCCATTTAATAGCCGGAACTTAAGTGGTGCATACTTCATATACATTTGGTGCCCGTTTGCACAGGTCAAATAGACTTAGCAGGACTACGACTCAGTCCGGGGCTGTGGAGACTACCAGCCGAAGCCTTTATCCCTACGTTACCGAGTCGCAGGGAGCGCTTCTCACAAAGGTTGATAACATTGAGGGTCATTGTGAAACGCTCGTCGTGTGAGTATTTTGTGACACCTTCCTTTTCCTGTGTGTAAAGAAACGGAAAACCGGTAGATCGGGGTCCCACCTTGTAGTTTGACATCCACCGGACCGCGATCCACTTCAAGGGGAGTGTCGCAATCCATACATCCCAAGCGAATTTATTTATTTAACTCTTAAGCCTTGTGTTACAGGTGTTAAGGTAATGGCGCGCTATCTACCTTAGTCATTCTCCATCTTAGCTTTGGATTCGGCAACTGTCCTTAACCACATAGCTCCTACACTACGACCGATCGCACACTGTGTTGTGGGGGCTGTCTTATCCACGATCGACAAAAAGTCCTATTGGGACCGAAACTGGAGTTCGAATGCCTGAAATACTTCGGAAAGCAAACTGCCTGGCTTCAGATCTTTCACACTGTACCTTAACCCATTGCTTGTCTCTTCTGTGGCTATACAGATGGAGGTACGACTGCATCAGGACCGCGATGGTAGCACCAATCTTCGTGCTGGTACTTACTCGTTCAATTTTAGCCGCGCTTCTTAACCCAACCAGCCCGTTTAATGTCTATTCACACGCGGCATTCAGGTCATAACCAGGTTAGTTTCATTAGGTTCATCGGCCAACCTCATCTTACTGTCTGTTGTGTCCCTGAAGCCACGTCGGTTGTATCTATAGACCCAATGATTAGATTGATGTGCTTTCATCCATCAAACCTCTTGAACACTACTTGGGACCCATATTTCACAACTTCGGCTTGAGCCGGTGCATAAACTAGCGTTAAACCCCTTCCTTTTTGTAGGGGGCGTTTGTTTTTCTATTCATATCAAGGTATTACACCTTCATATGCTCCAATTTGGGTGGTGTACCGACACCGTTTGGTTCGCAACGCTACTCCATGGTATGAAAGCCAGCTTACATACAAATAGCGAACGGCATTTGTTTCGATTGTGCCGAGTGCACACTGTTCCTGGACCATTCAATCTTCAAACACGCTGGCCACCGACTGACAGATAAGTAGGCGAGCTTCATACGGGGGTCACATTTAAATTCTGCTAGTTTCGCAACACACCTTGGCAACTGCCTTTGCGTGACTCATTGACGATTATTGATTGCATCTCTGGAAGCTTCGGTTCACGAATGGGACTTATATGAAGGTCAAGTGGCATTCCTCGTAGGTGGAATTTTCGTGAGGAGCATCTATTTATGGGAACGCTATCACCTCCCCGGCGCTTAGAGTGAAGGCCCTAGTGTGTGGTACTGTTGGTTATGGTGGTCGTCCAGCGATTCAGTACCTTGTTCTGATTTGCTTGGGTCCTTAGAGACCCCACTCGTACAAGGATGGAGATTGACAACTATTGGAGATAAGCGCCGGCATCTGGTGGTGCGTGCGGCAGCTGTCAACTCGGTTCTCCGCGTTTTATTTCTTCCCTTGTGTGTGAAGAAACGGAAAACTGATAGATCTGGGCCCCACCTCACATTTTGACGCCCACTACTTAAATGAATTCTCATCGGTGTATCAGTCAGTGGATCTGGCCAATCAGCAAGACAGACTCGCACCGAGTAAGTGATGGAGTGGTGTTTAAAGGCCCTGGTGCACGCAACTCATCACCATCCGAAATTCAGGTGCGGCTGATGCTGCTGCACGCCCTATATCAAATGCAATTCCATTTACGGACACTTTAAATGCACAGCTTGCTCGCCTTAGCCCCCCAGGAATTCGGGTAGGTAGCATGTTCGCTCTTAGCTCTGATCACACAGACAACGGCTCGTGTTAATTGCAAATGTACTAGTCGTAGACTTCTAGACAAAATCGGTCAGAGGCAAAAGGGACTTCGATATGTCATTTGGTATCTTTCAATGGGCCAACCTATATCACATCGATATGCGCTTCAGCCGACATTTTTCTGCCCTTGATTGCCGCTCGTTTCGGTTACGTTGTCGAAGCACGATTACACATGCCTTCCACAATGCACTATTAATTGTTTTCACAATCTTAGTGTGGATTATTACGTAAACTGGTGGTTCACATACTCGTCTAATTTGCAATCACGGGCCATCGCGATTGCTCTTAGATAAACTTATGTGAGTGATCATCCAGGTCCGTCATTTTGTTAATCAGGCGCTATCATCGTTGGTTAATGAAACCTCCTTTCACTTGATTTTAATCTACAATCAGTTGGATCAAAACAAATCGATGCATATGTCCCGATAGTTAGAGGCCGGAAAATTTGTCGTCTTGTTCTTCTGTCTTTCATTGGATTGAAATCGTAGCAGCGGGGAACATGTTTATGAAAAACACTATATCTCGCGAGCAGTTGTCATGTTCACGGCGCATCCTAATTTGACTCTCCATTCAAAAATGATACCTTTTTTTGGTCATATCCGGACACCATAACAGCGTACAACTTTCCGCATAGTATGCATTTACCATTGCAGTTCCCAACTGCGTACCCCTAATTTGATAACCTGAAAACACTGCTGTTGATGTATCTTCACTTTTAGTCTGCTCTTGTGTCCTTTCTGATTCTCTTTATCACTCACTGCGTTGGCCTTATAAATGAGAGTGGTTGTGGAGTCACTCGGCTCTTATCACCAACATTCACAGAACCCAATAGTCTTTCGTCACTAACGACCACTTGATTGCGTTCTGCATTCGTACTTTGATATTAACGTCAACTGGCTACACTTGCGCGCACACTGGGCACTCGTAGGCTTTACTTCTGGCTACCGTATACTCTGGAATACTCTTCCCGATTCGGATTATGTCTGAGTTTGTTGCTGTTTTCTCCGATGCCTATCCGGAAGCATGGGGAACGCTTACTTCAAGTTTCGGCCAGAAATAGTCAAAATCTACGGTTAGGATAGCTTACCTGGATGCCCTACATCCTGAACACTAGTTATCTTTCTCAGAGTATTCAATTTCAGTGGAATGGGGCTTCTACTGTTATGCATGGCACTGGGTCGTATGCCTTGGACTCCAGAAGCATCTCTACCGATGTCTTACTACCAAGCACGATCTAGGGTGAAACCGGGAAGGTTCGTGAGCTCAGAAGGATGATGAAATACTAGAGTGGTGGGCTGCGGGTTTCCAACACAAGCTCTTCAAACTAATCCACCTAGCTAGTCCCAGGAAGTCAGTACTCATCTAGATAAGCACTAACTATCGGCACCTTTCGGAAGGGCATTTTTGAGGGCAATTCAGGTGGCGTTCCTCACCCTAGCTGCTTTGCACACACACACACACACACACACACACTATATATATATATATATATATATATATATATATATATATATATATATATATATATATATATATATATATATAATACACAATCTGTGGTACAGATATTGTGCCATCGGAATCATGGCTGCATAGGAAAACAGTATGACTAATAAGAAAAGACAACAACAAAAGCTTTTTAGTCCAGTGCCTGAGTCAGGCAGGCTTAGTGAGCCATGAGCGAGGCCACTCGGGACCACTACCGAAGCGACGACGGGTCCTACAGAGAACGTAGGCAGAACCGGCGCAGCGTTTGTAGGTACGCTGCATTCGATTTACTAACCGCGTGCTTGCATGCTAAGTCTATTTATTTCAAGTGGTGGGTTTGCAATTTTGTCCTAATGCTTTTCTTTCTCACATGAGTGTCTATCTGTACTCTCTTCTATAAACTTGCACAGGTCGCTTAAGCCAATTTTTATTAATTTCGATAACATTTTCGTGTTTGTGGCATTTCTGTAAAATGTACTTTCCGATCTCGTGAACTGATCTCGAATTCGTTTGTAGACAACTTATTTCATATGCTCATTAATTTAAGATTTATGTCACCGTTTCCTTATGCATTACTCGATTTATTTTATTTGTTATCTTTCACACAAGTGATTGGCTGTTACTTGATATCCCCGGTGTGGCTGCGCTTGATGTGCATGTTGACAAGGTGTCTACCTGTCTATTACCCACTACCTCGTCCATACTGGCTCTAGGAGACAGTCGGTCGTTGCTGGAGGGGACGGGATGCACGGTGCTTGTGGCCGTGTTAGGATCAAAGGGTGGTTCCATGCATTCAGTGTGGAGCGGACTACAGTCCAGCCACCGCCTTGTGTGTGCGCTTGATTCCCCAAATACGGCGTGATTGTGTTTGCCTGTGAAGGAGTGTGGGCCGGCTCCGTTGATGAAACGTGGTTCCCATCCACATGCCTCCCGGTCTTATTCCTTCGGGTTTACACTGGATATGGGGTGTGCGGTTGGAGCTGTGGGTGGTGCAGCGCAAGCCACCCATGATCCCTCTGTAGGCGCAGGCGTCCTGTGGCTGGCCACAGTGACAGGCAAATCCAAAACCGGATGCCACCAACCATATATCGCAAACCTTGTTATATCTTCTATAACCGAAAGTACTTATGAAATTAATATAGAGTTTTGGTGAGTCGCAGTTCCACCAACGACTTCTAGCTCTCTGTTTTCCCTTGTTTCAACAGGATTTTCATATTTTTTATTCCAATATTTTTTCTTGTACTAGTCCCGTTTATTTCGCCCTCCATCATGTCTACTACGAAAAGCGGACGCTGTGTTACGTTTTCTTCCCTTTTTCCGAAAGTTTTCAATCTGGCCTGCAAGTATTGTGCAGTATGATTATGCGGCCCGTGATAGTCGTTTTATCAGTTATCCGGTCCTCTGAATAAACTTTTGGCGACCCCTAATCTAGGACAGTGGTGCAGCGCAAGTGTCAGACCACATGACAGTTAAGTTCCTGTATATCCTGTACCTCGAAACCGAATCTAGGTCATTTCATCGTTGCTGTTTCGTCTTTAGGTCGATTTCTCCCCAGGACGTTTCAGCCCCATAGTGCATCGTATCACGATCACTCCTTACACAGCTGAACCCGGCTAATTAATCTAACACCGCTTATACCACGTACATTTAAGTATGCAGTATGTCTGTTTAATAAAGCTGGTAGACAGAGATCTCCCAAGAAAACTTACGTCCTGTTGCTTGCATATGGCAACTATGGTCGAGCAGATCACATGACCTATCTAAAGGCTACAGTCCACATGTCACATTTATAATAGTGTTCACTTTATGAAGTATCTCTCATCCTTTGAAGTTGATTTTTGATACCACTTTCTTCCCTATAAAACTGCTGTATTTTACTTCACTGTACTGTGCATTGGTCCAGTCTAATCTGTAAAAATCTGATCAGCATACTCTTGAAAGGGTCCAGAGACGCTTCACGAAAAACTGTAGATATGCTTCAAAGTTTACATCCAGAGAGCGATGTTTTAAACTTGGATTTGACCCAATCTGGCTTCGGAGAAAGAAGCTGAACATACGTTTTGTTTACAGAATCATAAACCGTCAAATTCACAGTCTTGATAACGGTGTTCACATATCTTTAAACGGCAGATATTCAATCAGTAACAAAGAGATAAAGGTTATGATTCCAAAAGTTACTACGAGAGTCACAACATTTCTTCCTAATTAACTACTCAAAGATTTGGAACAAACTTCCCAGAGATATCAGAACATGCTATACATTTTGCAGTTTTAAGCTTGCGATTAGTAAGCAGTTTACCGTCCATAACATGATTCATATTTTCGGGACATCACAATCCCTAGATAACGCTTTCGAAAACAGTATCGATGGTGCCTGAACAGATTTCCAAAACACATTCATATAACACTTTGGACCACAGCCCCTTTCATTTCATTTCCTTTTTTCTGGGCCCGAACATCTGTCATGTGATTGGGAAGAACTCTTGTTCAACGACAGGAAAAACTAGCAGAACGATTCTGATTACTTTGAGTAACCTAAATTTGAAATTGCGCCGATGTATACTTTTGAAAAATTATTAATGCAATTGCATGAAAAGGATGTACCATTACTTGATCTGTTCCTTCTAGGGAACGGCTTCTCGCATCGTCGAAGAATATACAATTTATTAATTTAGTTTATTTATTTATTGTCGACCAGAATGTCTATGAAAGACTATTGATGATATTAAGTGAAGCCGCCATAAACCGGTTAATTCATACTTTTAAATGGTGATCAAGTTATGGATTCGACAATAAGAAATATAAAACTACAGCCAGAAGACGACATTTGGTAGGTGCAAGCATTTCGTGTTGTTTCTTCAGTTCCAATAACAACAACCGATGAGAAACAATAGCAAACGGTGGATGTGAACAAAAAGAGAAACGAACTTGGGAATCAAGATGGACGAAAAAGATTCGATCTTTATGTCCACGGAAGCTTGAGACTGACGAATAGCTGTTTATGCACGCACAGCATGAGCTACATTCGGCTAATCGCGACAGCCTCAGTGAAACGAAGAAATCGCGGATTAGAGTGCTGCAGCAAAGTTTTGAATGCCGAGGTAGGTGTGTGTTAGACTAAACAGGGTTGTGACATTAAGCGATGTGACATTAACTGGTTTGACTCTGTGATGATATTAAATAGACTAACTTCACACTTAAATGTACAAAACAACCAGGTATAAAACGGCCCGGGGGATGAAATGGCGGGACGTATCCACTGGCTAGCCTCCATACTATCTTCAAGCATGTCTCTTAGGCGGAGCAGCCGAATAACGAAATGCAAGTAAAAAACCTACTTTTGCCAACAACTCACCGGAGGCATTGGATCCTGAAGCATCTTCGGCATTGCCTCTGCAAGTATCTTCTTTTTTCTGTCCCATCGAGCGCCGTCGACATATAGACCATAGACATAGGCACCTGCAAGATTTCCAACAAATGCACATTGGGTGTCTCGGGTAGCTAATTGTTTCACATGATGTCGTGACTCATTTTACAGCCTAAACACCAACTCGGGCTGATTTTTGCGTCTGAGCTCACTGGTAAAAGTAAGCGCATTGCACTCCTTACGTTACTTCACCCCTTACATAAGCCACAATGCGCCTTATTGTTCTTTAGCGTCTTCGCACATACCATGAATCGAGTCATAGAATTATGGTATACCACCTGTTGAATTCACTTGATTTACTTATTGGTGGGTTTGTCCCTTTCAATGCTTTGTTTTACATGCGATTCTTTCTCACTCTACCGAACGGAACCTGACAGGTTAGTTCCATAAACTTCATGCACCAGTAGTTTTCGAGGACAACTGAGCTGACATGTTTGTTAAAGTCGATTCGAAACCTTTGACTCATGTTATTAAGCACCGCTTGGCTGTCACGAAGGGAAACCCGACGGGTGGTGAATTAGATGAATGGGTCAGAATGTCCGGGAAATCCGGTGCTCACATTCACGAATAGCTCTCACAACTTACGTTAACTAAATGTACTGACTTATTTTCCACACGATTTACACGGTGGCGCACGAAATGTCATACCATTTGTTTTGTTCTTTACACATGTATTTATCGTCAAAATATTACAAAATTAGTGCAGCATTACTTGTATGAGTACGGAAATTTAGTTCAGTGTAGTATATGTTCAAAGTGATCACCATTTTGTCTAACAACCTCTTGCAAGTTTTCATGATTTCCGGGGTGCGGACACTTAGTCTGCGCCGTCGATTCTTCTCCATCACAGAGCCAGTTGTTTCAAAGTAACGATACAATCCCTAAATAATGTGTTTACATGGAGCCCATTTTGTACGAAAGTGGGTAGTTTCACGTACATGAATGACTTCGATCCGTTTACTTCAGCCGTGCGCGGATTGGGTACCACTCACACCAGCTAGCCAATCATCTGACACACACACCCCGGTCTCGCTGCGCGTTTCCGTGATCCTTGTACCTTCTCAATTGTTTGATAAACCTTTTGCTGTTCAGACGTCCTCTGCTTGCTGGGATTACGTGTCTCGGAAGTGTGCGTTACATGCTTAGTGGTACTACGTATTAGTGGCGACGAAAATGACGAACCCAATGTTGAATACACCTATATTTTGGTCATCGGCTGAGGAAAAACCGGCCTTATCGAACTGGATAAGATGAAGGAAATCATTTACTAACTATGTGGAATTACTTCCTGTACTGAATCCGATCGTTTGTCTTTCTGAGGGTCACAAAATCACACTATTCAGGCAAGTGCTTGGTGATGAAGGTCAACGGCACTACGATGCCCTACAACTGGAAAACTATGCCACCCTCAGTTCTGCTTTGGATACTTATACCACGTTATGGGGGCTGAAACGAAATGTTTACAATGCTAGACACTGCTTTTCAAAACTTGTCCAAATGTCGAACGAAAGCGTCAATGACTTTGTTGCACATATTCACCAATCTATTCCTGATTGTAAGTATAATGATATTCCACCTGGAAAATTGAAGAGCAAATGAAAATTCAATGTTTGATTGCGGGAATATCGGACGAAAGTGCTAGAGAGAAGTTGTTATCCTTGGATGAGTCGGCTACCACGTGGGAAAACTTTTGTCTCATCGTTCGCCAGCGAGAGAACATTACACACCAATTACTCGAGTTCACTGGTCGGCCGGCAGTTGATAATGTGCACGCGGTCCGCAAATCAGACACCAGTGAACATCGAAAACAATTTGTGTTATCGTTGCGGTTTGCGGCATTCTCACGCTTCCGATTGCCAGCACAAAGAAACTGTCTGTCGGAAATGCGGCAAGATAGGTCATCTAGCACGCGTCTGTAGATCAGAAAGTTCCCGCCCCACGAACATCGCCTCATCAAATCATCAAAGCAAGATAGAGCTACGGGAAGATAAGATCCTAGAAAAGTTGAATAGTGAGCTTAACTCCGTGTATTTGAACAGTGTGACACACAAAAGCTGTCTTCCTTACACAATACGTGTGACGATAGAGGATGAACCGATAGACATGGAGTTAGATACTGGGGCGGCATTCACCATTGTAAACCGCGGTTCAATGAAAAAGCTACCACCTTTGCTACCGTGCAACTCGAGATTACAGACGTACACAGGTGATCCAATTCAGGTGTTGGGCAGATGTTTCGTTAAAGCCAGGCAGGGGGAGCGAGAATTCACCCTACCCTTAATCGTTGTATCTGGGAACAAACCGAATCTCATGGGTCGAGACTGGATACAGTTCTTTCCCGAGACCATGCAACTCAACCAACTCACTGTTGAAAACGGCAGCTTGAATGGGTTATTGAACGAGTTCTCATCGTTGTTCGAAAACAAACTGGGAAAAGTGCGTCATTTCAAGGCTTCTATCAAACTCCGAGGGTGCCGAACCAAAATTTTACAAAGCTAGATCATTACCTTATGCAATGCGCCCTAAACTTGAGGCAGAGATACAACGTCTGCAATCAGAAGGAGCCATAGTCCCGGTGCAACATTCAGATTGGGGCACTCCGATTGTACCTGTACTCAAACCTGACGGCTCCGTCCGTATTTGTGGAGACTACAAATTGACAGTCAACCAAGCGTCGAAAGTGGAAAAATATCCCCTACCACGTATTGAAGACTTGTACGCGACTTTAGCCGGCGGCCAAAAGTTTTCCTAGCTAGATCTCAGTCACGCATACCCTCAGGTCGAACTTGATGATGAGTCACAGGAACTGACCACATTAACTACCCACCTGGGACTATTCCAGTACACCCGTCTCCCGTTTGGAATAAATTCAGCACCCAGCATTTTCCAACAGATCGTGGATAATATAGTTAAAGATATACCGTTCACCTATGCATACTTGGACGATATCCTTGTTACTGGACGCAGTGACCCTGATCACCTAAACACATTTCAAACTGTTCTCCTGCGTCTGGAAGAGTGTGGGTTGAAATTAAAAAGTCCAAATGTGAATTCTTATCCGATTCTTTTTATTACCTTGGTTGCAAACTGGACAAAACCGGTTTGTATGTCCTGTAAGATAAAATAGCGCCTATTGTGCAGGCACCTCAGCCCAAGAATAGCAATGAACTACGATCATTCCTAGGAATGTTGTCCCACTATCGTCGTTTCCTACCGGATGCCTCGACCATTCTTGCTCCATTAAACGAACTGTTACACAAAAACATCCCGTGGATGTGGAAAAGTGAGCATCAATCTGCTTTTATTTGTGCAAAGAAGTGTCTTGCTTCCGCACCTGTTTTGGTCCATTACGATAGCGAAAAACCGTTAATCTTACAGTGTGACGCCTCTCCATACGGAGTCGGAGCAGTTCTATGCCACAAAATGTCCAATGGTGTCATTCACCCGATTGCATTTGCTTCACGAACTTTACAACCCGCCGAAAAGAATTACTCCCATTTGGATAAAGAAACCCTGTCAGTTATATTTGGCGTCAAGAGGTTTCATCAGTACATTTAGGGGCAACTATTTCTAAATACAAACCGACTACAAACCACTGGTATCCTTGCTGAGCGAGTCAAAGGGAATCGAGCAGATGTTTTCACCGAGAATGCAACGCTGGGCATTAATATTAACTGCATATAAATATCGAATCTCCTATATTCCTGGGTTGAACAATCATACAGCGGATACATTAAGCAGGTTACCACATGCGACCCCAGAAGAAATACTGGATGAACCAGTAGACCTTGTAAATCTAATGCAACACCTCGACACCACTCCATTGACAGGTGACACCATACGTCAGTGGACCGATCGTGACCCAACGCTATCTTCTATAGTGCGATTTACAAAAACCGGCTGGCCTACTACAGTTCCCGTCGATCTTAAACCTTACGCACAACGGAAAAATGAATTGAGTCTTCACAATGGATGCTTGTTTTGGGGATCCCACCTGATTCCCCCGCTAAAGGCACGGCCGTTCATCATAAACGAACTCCACAACGCACATCCAGGCGTAGCCCGAATGAAAGCCTTGGCGCGCAGTTATTGCTGGTGGTCTGGCCTAGATACAGAGATAGAGAACTATCTAAAAACATGTGGTTTGGGTCAGCAGTATCAGTCAAATAAGCCCCCCGGTCCGGTACACCATTGGCGTTGGCCTGAAAGGCCATGGCAGCGCATCCATGCGGATTACTTTGGACCCATTAATGGTGTATTTTTCCTGCTGCTAATTGACGCCCATTCGAAATGGATAGATGATTATCCCGTTGTCCACCCTACTACAGAGATAACTATCTCCAAAATGCGTTCGTCATTTGCAATATTTGGGATACCGGAGACACTGCACAGACAATGGACCATGTTTCACTAGCAAAGAATTTGAAATCTTCATGAATAGCAATGGTATCCAGCATGTCCGTACAGCTCCATATCACCCTGCTTCTAATGGGCTAGCGGAAAGGGCGGTACAGACAGTTAAAAGAGGTCTCTCAAAACAAGCACCAGGAACTGTTCAGACGAGGTTAGATCGCTTGTTGTTTGCTTACAGGATAACGCCCTCGGAAGCCACTGGTAAATCACCTGCGGAGATGATGTTCGGCCGAATACTCCGTACCAGACTGGATCTTCTGTTTCCAAATCATAGAGCACAAATGGAGAGGAAACAAGACAAGGCTGCCGCATCGCAAGATGACCACGACTCTAGTTGGCAACCGCCTGATCCCGCATACACACAATCCCCATGAGCACTGCTGGCAACCCGCAACTGTAATTAACGGTGACTGTACCCAAGCAGATCTTGAATTAAGTGGTCTGATAGTACGGCGACACTCAGACCACATGCGCTCACGTTTTGTTGGGACAACAGCAGATGAACGTCTGGGTGAATCAGCATCCGTTCAGCCGGAAACGGAAGCAAACCCCCAGGATTCTGTACAATCGTCAGATGCACCAACACTTCGCAGATCTCAGCGTACGCATAAACCCGTTGACCGGTTCGTGCCAGGAGTATAAACATTTCAAGAAATGAGAGGATGTCACGTACGCGAGTGGCTTCGATCCGTTTACTTCAGCCGTGCGCGGATTGGTTACCACTCACACCAGCTAGCCAATCATCTGACACACACACACACCCCGGTCTCGCTGCGCGTTTCCGTGATCCTTGTACTTTCCCAATTGTTTGATAAACCTTTTGCTGTTCAGACGTCTTCTGCTTGCTGGGATTACGTGTCTCGGAAGTGTGCGTTACATGCTTAGTGGTACTACGCTTTCGGTAGGAAAGCGTCTTTGTGTCGCTACAAAACTCCTCGTTCCTGTAAAAACATTACAACCTTAATCTTCTGTTCATCACTCTATCTGCTGTCATGCGCCATCATGAAAGTTGTATTTGTCACCAAGAAAATATTCCATACAAACTTCACGTGATATCTACCGGATTTTCCATAAACCAAATTATACAAATACGAGTTTTCAACATTATATCTGTACTATTACATGTGTAATGAGCAATACAAATGGTACGAAATTTCGTGCGCCACCCTGTAGTTAGGTACTCGAACACGACTGAATGACAAACACCGTTTCCAGGACGCATACGCGCTTTGGATTAGCTGCTGATGTCAACTGCCGTGGGCTACTCAGAAAGATTGATGTGCACTCTGGAAAAGTGGTTCGGAATCGGGAGACGGTTAGGATGCTCCTGTGTTGAACTACGATTTTATGGGGGTGGTGCGTTGCAGCCTAGTGACTAATCCATTGCTTCTATTGAAGCGCATCTATCAGTGCACTAAACGTTTGCTTTTACCTGTTAAACTTACTCCTTTTATCGCATATCTCCTTTCTTGTCAAACTTTATTCTGTTGCGGTGCAATTAAAATGTACTTGTTTGGTGCTGCGAGAGTTAAGGCGAGATAATTCATTCAACAGCCATTCTGTTCCCTACCTTTCGCAATGTAGTGATTGGATTATACGAGTTGAGTACAAGGATGATGAAGTGTTTGGGAGACTGAACGCATACGCTCTATCTTAAGCAAACCGTAACACTGCCCGCCACATCCTATCAGGCAAAAAATGTACCCTGTGGACAACAGTCTTATCAGCAATCAGTGCTGTAAGTTCCCCCGAGATAATGATCTATGTTTTGCTGCGTTTGTCGTTGTCGTAGAGGCAGTTAGAATACTGAGTGTGTCAAGACGAGTACCAGAGCTTCTTTCCTACCTTCTTTGGGTGGCTCGGTGTACTTTTCGTCGTTCAACACCTCGAAATCGAATGACAACAAGTCGATTGGTATGGTGTGTTTTCTTGCATAATTCTGCTGCACGCCGGTCAGGAACGCTTGTGTGAAGAAGAACCCGGATATCCAGAACACCGCCGGTGCCCCGTGGTCGTACCAATCCTGTGTCGCGGAGTACATGAAAAGAAATAACGGATTGCTTTTAGTCGGATATAATTGGGTGGAAGAGCACAATCCTGACATCGATACAGCAAAACTACTTGTCTACCGAGCACACCCCTCTATCCACACATTTGTGCTCCTTCATGATGATGGAGTACATGTGACTCTTCCGGTGTATTAGCTGGTTTAGATGACGTTTGCGTAAGTGTTAGGCTCCAGCTTTTGATATCAATCTTATAAATGCGTACACCTCGGCAGCGAATTACCGATGCCGATGCGTTTACACTTCAGGGCTACAAATTCGGGAATTTCTCTTTCTTTTCTTTAACTTAGGTTGCATAATTACATGCTTCACTCTAGCCTTGATTGTCGTCATCCTCTAGACGTGTTAGAATTCAGAGAGCATGTACAATCCGGATGTTTCAACTAACCTGCAAGAATTTCAGCCGAGCCAAGAAGTCATTCACATACGAGCCCAGTGGTTTCAGAGAAGGATAGGACTTGGACATCCACATCTGGGGGATTCTTGATGCGAGCATAGCTTCAACTACCGCTTCCAGGTCAGCGGACATTACCACTAAGCCTTTGATCGCCAATCGGATATCTCTCAAGCTGCACCGGATAATACTGAGTAGGGCGTTGAAACGCACCATCTCCTGGACCAAAACAGTGTTCATACTCTGTTCATACCGAGTGGGATACTTGCGCAACACCATTTCTGTATCGAAATTTTCCGGAAGCCTGGATAATACATCCCCCGCCACTTCGTCCACCGTCTCATCCACGGATTTACCGGTTGTTGAAGTGCCTTTGGCCTGTTAAAGTGGGGTGAATGGGTCACGACAAGTGGTTTCTGAGTGATCTCAGTGAGCAATGCTGTTGAGTGACACGTAACTGCGCTGTGATTTCTTTCGTTTACCGAAGCCCATACACTAGGAGAATCCAACAGAACAGCCGGAATACACTTATTTGATCTGTATTGGTTTGAAGAGGCAATTGGGCAGAACCAACAGCTAAAACTAGAGGAGGCGTAGTTCAGAGGGGAAACCAGGGCGGGGCAATGGGTCCAGTGAATGCCGGCACGCAGTTTGTTATTTTATTGTGGAATCTCACTGGTTAAAATGCCATTGTGTGTTAGGTTGACTCGCTTGCGGCTTCGCAGCAGTTGCTGAACCACGTGGCGTTTGCACTTTTACGAAACTTAGTCGTAGCTGTGATTCAATCTACCTTCTGCAGTTCGTTAACTATAAACCGTGCTGCTGATGTTCTTAACGCTTAGGGAACCACCTGACGTGATCAATATTTTACCAAACTAACGCTTTCCTGGGTTAATGCTAATCGGTTGTATAAAAACCGGTGCCGCTGTACTTCTCGCTGTCATCACTTCGACGATCACCTAAGTAATAGGGGATGAGCTTGCTTTTCCAAAATTCTATGAACATTCACCACTTGTTATTTGATTATTTTAAGGAACGATTTGTCCTTTCACAATACAGTCATGTACGGTGTGTTCTATGCTGTTGAAAAAATGTAAAATCGTCCTTCCCACATAATTTTCGTTTCTGTACATTAGGTACCAGCAAACGGCAGCATGAACGTCTGAAAATTCGCTTCCACTAGCGGGGCTCATATATTTTTTCCAACTTCTTCATCCTTGCTCTGCGGTTAGAGGTAGTTACATTAGCTTGAGTATTTAGTGTTTACGGTGATAATTTGTCACATCAGATCATCGATGGGTGACAATCGATGGTACACCAATTTGATTCACTAATGCCCTTCGGTGGCTAATCCGATGCGCCGCTTCAACTTTTCTCCGGATAGACCGATTGTCATGTGCCATTTGTTCGGACTATAGGCTTATCTGTTTAACAGGAACAACCTTTCTTAAAATATGGAAGTAAATATAAGGCGACTGCTTACACCTTAAGTACACACTACTTAGTAGGCTCTGCTGTTGATGCTCTAATTTCCTCCAAATCTTGACAAAGCTACATTTATACACCGTTAAATTGTTTACCCTTCGTCATAGTGGCCCCTTTAGGCTTGCCGATCACAGAACTGTCTCAGATGGTTGTTCCTCATCAAAAAGTTGTTTGTAGTAAAAGTGACCGGTTTCCCAATCCCCATTGGTGATTACCTTCGGCTTTGCTGGTGTTTCAAGGAATACTCTCTACTCTTGTGTGAAAAAGATATTGCAGCGATTCCATGACGTTTTCAACCAATGAACCCAGTTTATCCTAATGCTAGTCTTGGTCAAATTGGGATTGCATGTCGCGATCCAGGCACACAGAGGGTGTTTGAAAAGAATGATGAGCAGTTTGGGGCTAAAAGTGATCGAGTTTTGGCTTATTGGCAAATGCAACAAGGGTGTGAATAAGGGACAGTTATTTTGCTTACTTGTGTCAGAAGAATACTTGCAAACAATAAGTTTGTTTCCTGTTGATCTTTGGTGATATCTGCATTCTCGTGCATTCCGAACACACCAGGATGCGGGTTAAGCGGCAGTGATTTGATGTAGTCAATGTATCCCTCATACTGTAACACAGAGAAATATGCACATGAATTTTTCAACCAATTCATGTTATCAGCCGCGTGAATTACAGGGAGTAGCTAGACGACAACTCACATGGGTAACTGGTGGGATGTAATAGGTTCCGCTGGGATCCAACGGGTATTTCTCCATCTCGACAGCTTCGGGGCAGTAGAATTTCCGTAATATCGTCTTCAGTGTTCGACGGTCCCATTCATCAGTGACGCGACCACCGTAATTGCATTCTCCCGTGAGGTAGCGTAAAGCTTCGTATTGAACATCCTGTTCGGGATTTTGGGGTGGTTGTGTCAATTTTCATATACTCTATTGATAAAACGTTGTGTTGAGTAAGTCTGGTACTTATTGCGGAAAGTCTGAAATACCCAGAGGGATAAGCTCTTATTCGCTTATTTATTATTGATATTACGTGTCGGTCCAGCGCCATGCGTGCTCTGATTGTGAGCTGCATATTTACGTACAAGCGTTGGAATCAGTTCGGGTTGGTGCGGTAACGGTGCACATATCATAGTCTATCTGTAGTAGTAAGCTTACCTCGCCTCATTTCGTTGGCTGCCCCGTCTGTGCTCTACGAATTGACTCTCGGTCATTGCAGTTTCAAATGACTCTAGGGGCTCTGTTCTAATGGCTTGGTGCTCTGTTTTCGCGGATCTACTAAAACCAGGATGACACTGCGCCTGCTTAGCCACTTGTAGTCGTTTCAACCCAACTTCTAAAACTGAGGTGGTGCTTTGTCCTCATGTTGAGATGCGCAAGGAACTGATGTCTACACCATTTCCCGGCCAAGTTGTCCTCTTGGGCAACAGAAATAATATGAGGGGGCATTCAGTATGAGTCTACTCAATTAATTTGTTCCCTGCGTAGGAGCTGAAGCGTCCCACCTGCACCCCTATGACTTAGTGCGTCTGAGGTCCAATTGGCTGAAGGCGACGGGCTATACACGCACACCTGCACTAGTGACTGGCGTACGCACGGAACAAATTAATTGAGTAGACTCATGTTGAATGCCCCCTCAGATTATTTCTGTTGCCCAAGAGCACAACTTGGCCGGGAAATGGTATAGATTAAGTCTGAAAACCATCGAACATCCGAAAGTGCATTGTACGGTCGTTTCATTCTTTCGCGAAATGTCACTAGTGCGCATTTCATCTGTCCCTTGTAGTGCTAGACCCGCAAGCTTACACTTTCGTGTCCGTGGTTAAGACCGCTGGATTATGGGGATGGCAAACATCAACATTATTAAGTCCTAGGCTTGATATAGCGCGGCTCCCTCTCCACTTGGTTGCACCTTGATATCGCTTAATGGACAGAGTCACCCTACCCCCAACAACGACTTCCCACATCCCCCTCAACTCTCTTGTAACTAATGCGCAGACAAAAGGCTTGCGATGCTATAAGTCAATCGGCGGCTTAATTTTAGTAGGTCGTTGCTCCGAGTGGCTATACTGTACTCACTGGCGTTCCCTTTGTATACCTATGAGTATATAAGAACCTATCTACTTGACTATCAGCACTGTCCCAGTTTACATACGCAGCGCATGTGCACTACAGGTATACCCAAGTTCCCGAATCCCATCAATTGTCCTACAGTGTATTTGAGAAGAGTCTTTCGTTTTTGCTCAGTCGCCGCGCTGGTCAGGGGTAGATTGGAACGCACTAATTTGCCGACCCACCAATGGCATGTACGTCTACTGTATTTACTCATCCACGCGTGTCTGGGGGTGTGAATACGATGTGAGGACGCATTGCGGTGCATGTGTCCTTGAAATATGTTAATGACCCTCGTCGATTTCGACAAAGGCCAGCTCAGATTGGGTCGATGCCGACGTTTTTGGCTGGTGGTTTGCAACATCTCGACAGCAGTGCATAATGCACTGGCTACCGTGTTCCAATGTTGATGGCGCTTCGACAGTTGCTTAATGTTATCCCAGCAAATGATAAAAGGGTTAGTGACAACGCTGTTGTAGACTGAATGTTACCTTCACATAAACCACCTTAGCAAAATAAGAATTCGTAACAATTAGGCGGTGAAAATATGAGATGCTACTTCTGCATAAATGAGTCCGGAACAATGTCTACCAGCTACTGGAGGCTCATCGGATCTATTTGCAAGTGCGCGGCCGCCTAAGGAGTTAATTCCAGCAGAATACAGAAATAAAAAGAAAGCTGAGTGCAGTGCCTTTTGAACAGATTTTATCAAATCTCATTTTATTCCATCAGCTTGGAGAATTAAATCAAAATCAGTTTCGCAATGAGCACGAGAAGGAATTTTACAGTATTCGTATGGTAAAAGAATCCTAAAGTAGATAAAGAAGCGTTTAGGTCAAATCTGATCACCCATTTTAGAAAGAAAGGTGATGGAAGAATGCAGCGCGTACGATGCATTTATTTGATTAAGCCGGTCTGTTTACGGCTGAATATTCAAGCGTTGTTGGTGTATTAAGCATTTTATTGACTTGACTTGAGTTCCCCGCCTTGGCAGACTTGAATGTTTAAATATTCCTTATCGCCCAGATACGTATCCGGCCAATTTGGAAAACCTTAATAATGCCATGGTACTAGAATTTTTGGTATTTTAAGTATCCATGGAAACTGTGTAAATAGATCACTGAGGATTCACGTTCAACCGTTTGTTCCACGGTCATGACACATTCAGTAGTTGCGAATGACTTAACACGGAAGAAATCGTTGTACCTATAGATGGGCCTCAGCGCCGAAAGGTCTCGTTGGCGGACAGGGTTAGGGTGATAACACTGGCTAGATCGTAGATAAACATACCATGGCATTCCAAATAGCCCGTCAATGCGTCGGCCAGAATTTCTTCCATAACTTTGCCGAACACCGGGAGAAGAGGACCGGGCGGTTATTGGCAGGCTGGTACCGACTTGCTCCCTTGTGAATAGGTTTGATGAAACCTAGTTTCCACTTTGACCGAGCTATGTTGCAGTCCAGAGATGGCTGAAATAATCCGACTAGGTGCGTGATTGTTACCTTTAGTGCTTTTGGGGTGGCTATTGTCCACTCCAAGAGATATGTGTGTAGGAGGGTAATGGCATTTTCAGTACCGTTTCCGCAGTGAATGTTACGCCGGATCAAACTGCTACTTTGTGCACTTGTCCTCACCACCAAGTGCACAGAGTCGTCGGCCTGAGTTGCGTACACCGTCCAATTTTCTGAACTGCGATTGTTTCTATAACCATGCCAAGTCCGGTCCCTCAAGACCATATATTTTCGTGTTCGGCTTCTCTGAAAAGATTTCTTTTTTAGGGGAGGATGAAAAGCTTTCGGTTCTGATGCCTTCGCGACTAGGGATTTGAACGTGCCCACAA